GAAGCCCTGCAAGATGTGTGAGGCCCGCCATAAGATTCAGGCCAAGTACCTGGACCAGGTGTGCATGCCCGACTGCCTGCCCAGCCCTCACACCTTTGACCCTGGAAGTTGGGGCCTGGCCCAGCCCAAGCAAGGCACCACCCATCTTCTACTGCGTCCCCTGACCTTTTGCTCCATCCCGTCTTCTGACCCTCTGCCCCAGACTCCTGCTCTGCACCCTAATTCTGGCTCTAAAGGACTGTAGCTGGCCTGACCTGGGGACCTCTGACCCCCAGGGAGGGGGAGGTCCAGCCCAGTGATCTCTGACCTCACTGGTCTCACTCCCACCTATCACCCTGTGAAGCCCCTGCCCCACATTCTCCCCCAATCCTGGGCGGTCCCCAGTCCGACCCCTCCCACTGACCCACATTCTGTCCCTGCCCCACGGCCCTCTGACTGCTGCCATCTGCCCTATGCCTTGGCCACAGATGGAGGATCTGTATGAAGACTTCCACATTGTGAAGCTGCCGCTGCTGCCCCACGAGGTGCGGGGGGCGGACAAGGTCAACACCTTCTCTGCCCTCCTCTTGGAGCCCTACAAGCCCCCCAGTGCCCAGTAGCACTGCCGCCAGCCCCAGTCGCTGCCATTTCACACCCACCCTCCACCCACCTCCGCCCCCGGGGCAGAATTTGCACAAAGTCCCCCATAGCATAGGGGGAGTCATTTGGGGGGTGGGAGGCGGGGAGGAGGTGTGTTCCCCCTGGTGGGGCTGGGGGGGCTGCAGCTGCCCCCCACCTCTCCCTGCCTCTCGCCCCTCAATAAAATGATCTTAAATCACTGTGGATGTTGATGTAGAGGGGTTGGGGGTTGACAGCTTTATGTACAGTTGCACAGGTTGTACACTGCACAAAAATGGCACCTCTAGAGGAACCCAGTCACAACAGAGATCTGATAGAGATGTATGTTTATGATGGCCATTTTGGAAGGAGGGTATCTTCGGCAAGGGGGTGTCCTCTTCTAACTCTATGGATAGCGGTGTCCCTGCTGGGGCTCTAAAACCTGTAATAGAAGAGGAGCATCTGCCTACTTCCTTTGAGGTTCAGAGCGTGGGAACGGGGAGGCCCCTTCGCCAGCCCCAGGCTGGTGGGGAGCGGATTAGGCCGGCACGGGCCCAGCACTGCCTGCTGTTTGGTTTGGGAATTAGTGGGCGCCCTGGGCAGAGGCTAGGCCTGCCAGACTGAGGATTAACAGTCTCCACCCCCCAACTGCTGCTCCCTCTGCCACCGAGGCTGCACAGAGCTGCAACAGGGGAGCTAATTAGGGGACGGGATGGCAGAGGACTCAGGCCAGGTGAGCCCCTGAAGTCCTGTGTGTCTCAAGAGCAGCCTCGCTGAGTTATAGGTAACATGCTTCCTGCAGTTTGAGCTCCTTATCCCTAAAACGGAGACATAAAGGGTGGCCGTTCAGGGTCACGGCAGAATTCACCAGACCCTGGGAGAGTTCTCACAACAGCTTGGAAGGCAGTTAGCGGGGTCCCTTACATCCTTTCATGCTCCCTCTGCCACTGCCTGGACAGCCGATGTCCTCCCCAGTTGACAGACCCAAGACTGGTTGTGATGCTGACCATTTATTTGCAAGTTCCAAGCCAGAGCTGGTTAGAGGGGACAGAAAGGGGGTGCTTGAGGACATGCATGAGTCAGGAAGTGGTGTTTAGACTGCACACCCAGACCATGGGTGAGCCAGGGTGTTTGTGTAAGGGAAACCCAGTCACAAGCCTAGACGTGTCCCCCCTACACTATTCCACTGGGTGTGTGCAGGCAGGTGTGGACAGGTTCTTGTGGCCTTTGTAAGCAAACACGGTGGTGCAGCCTGTGACAGAGACCCCGGGCTCCAAGTCAAACTGCCTGAGTTCAAATATCAGCCATGCCACGAACAAGCATGTGTCCTCTGAGCCTCAGTTTCCCTATCCGGATGTAGAAATACCAAAAGCACCAATTTCATAGTCCTGCTTGTAAGGACTCCATGAGACGAAGTAGGTAACGTCTTTGCAACAGCACCAGGCACGTAGCCGCCAGGGAGTGTTTGTTATTCTTTGCTGTTACAAGTATTAAGCATGTGAGCTAGCCTGGGCAACCTGCCCCGGATCCAGCGGGGGTCCAGCAGTCAGAAGTGTGTGGAGACACGTGTGAGCTGGGAGTGGGGGGATGAGCACAGGTTGGGGGCTAGCTGTAGTGTGGGTGAGGATGCATCCTAGGAAGTGGGGGCCTCTGGTCAGGAACCAACCGTCAACTTGAAGCCCATACCTTCCCCAGGCCCTGAAGCTGGCAACACCACCCCCTCGCCCCCTTTTACAGGCTGTCCGGCAGCTGGATGGCAGAGATTTGGGTCTGAGGGTGACCAGCCCGGGCCAGTTCCTAATTACCTGGGGCAGGGCAGACATCTGCCAGTCTGGGAACACAGTGTCCCGGCTGGCAAGGCTTCAGGGCGGGGCTGCAACGGGCCATCCTCACTCCTAGGGCACATGGTGCATTTGAGGGCCTTCAAGGGTGCCCCTCGGGGTAGGAACCCTTCCACGCTGGGCTACGAGTTTGATGTTGGGGATAAGGGCTATTTGTGTCAGGCTGGGAGTACCCCCTTCGTAGACGTCTGTGAAGGCGGAACATCTGTCTGCGTCTGTGCAACATTCGGGGACAAGGTTTTGCATCCCTAAGCTTGTGTGTTCATGGCAATACTGAGAGTATCTGAGACCTGGGGTGTGTGTATGGGTGGGGATGCTTACACAATACAGCGAGGGAGCACTGGGGAGAGAGTGTCCTATGCATTGATGTGCAAATGCAGATGAATTTCACGGCGGGG